TAGGTTTGCTATAGATTTTCGCTATGACACAAATTTTACAGTGGAAATAGTAACAAAATAAAAGCAAAAAATCAAACCAATCACAAACCAAAAAATATGCAAGATTTTATAGTGGTTAGGATAGAAATTCTATGTTCACTCTTCCATCTCACGAAGGGGTTTCCTCACAGTGATCAGAGTTCAACTGAATCACAAACCGATTCGGTAAAGATTGTACCATGAAATCTACCCGAAACCAGTTGTTTAGCCCAACTCTACACAGATGAGTAACACCTAGCCCTAGCTAGTGTAAATCCTCAATTATCACTGGCTTGAGTATATTGTAAAAACAAGATAAAACAAACAAACATTTGTGATATTTTCAGTCACCAAAGTATGGCCCTTTGCCAGCAACGGACATGTATCCCTCTACATGCACTGCTCAAATCGAATTGCCAATCAGGACCACCAAGAATCCCGACTTAGCCGACTCGCCGAGTTGACATCTCCTTAGGTCAACTCGAAGGGCGGTGCTTGTCGATCCTCTTGTCGAAGACAACTCGTAACGAGCTCACTCGACCAGTTATTTGACATATCGCGGGGTCGACTCGAAAGGCGTCACTTCTCGACACCCATCGCTACGAGCCAAAGGACGACTTCAACCTCAAACACCCCACGCTGACAGCGCATCAGCGTCACATTAAATGTATTTATGACACATCGAACCACGCCGACTTCGTGCACCGCCCATCACATCTCATTAATGGAGAAATGACAGCGCCCATCACGCAGTCGATCCACGACCGATACCTGTAAAAAGTAGATTCTAACTCAGCCGCCAGCTCATGCTCTGTCAAAAAGACAAGACTACCCCTCTTGCTTGGCTATAAAGAATAAAACTATTCCAAATACAAGGGTTAAGCAATTTCTCAGCATCTTTCTCCATTCTGCTGCATTTTTCTCATATTCCCACTCAAGTTCCTAGCTGATTTGATCGTCGGAGGGACAACGTGGGAACCAGTCCCCGTCCTCTTACGAGTTGTTACCCGTGCAGGGACGAACAACCTAACTCCAAATCAGATATTCGGAAAAGCAAGCGGCCCCCATATCAACCCAATCCTTACCCACCTCCTCTTTTAATTGTGTGATTTAAACCATCAACACCAACCATAATATTTTAAGAGCAAATAAAAAGATCTTACGGTCCTTTTTAAGCAAAACATTCTTCAAAAGAATTGAAGCAAAGTTCGATGAAGAAACAATGATGATGTTGAATCCAATGGCAACTCTCATAGTTGAAAAAAAAAATCTACAAATGCTGAGTGCGACAAGAAAGAGCTTGATGAGGCTTTGGGGTTGAATCACAAATCAACTCTTCACACAAACCCTAAAATAAAATCTCTCTATTTTTTCTCAAGCAAGAACCTCTCCAAAATATGATCTATTCTTATTTTATATAGCCATTGATAATAAAGGAAAGAGATATAGAAATCATAATAGAAGTTGGAGATAAAAGGGATCAACGAACGATATAGATTAAATCACAAAATCTGCCAAAACACGTTGTTACCATCGATGGGCAATTTCGACAATCGATGGTCCCCTATGAACCACTATGGTTACCATGTAAACCATCAATGGGCTGAAATCTGATTTTTTTTGGAATGTAACAAGTGTGCATTGTAGTCCATCGATTGTATAGCCGACCATCGATAGCTCCTTGTAGACCATCGATGGTGTGATTTCTGTTTATGTTTTTCTCCGACTATGCATTGTAATTCATTGGTTAACTCATGACCATCGATGCTGCTCTCGTGACCATCGATAATGTGATGGCTGAAATAAACATGTATACTAATTTTCGCATCGTTTCACCTCGTATCTTTCGTATGCTTATTTATATCTGGAAAAAATTATCTTAAATAATTGTCAGTTACAAATGAGAACTTTTTATTACTCAAACAAACTACATTCTAACATGTGGGTCCAAACAATAAAGCTCATCGATGACTTAAAAGAAATTTGCACCCATGACTTCTAATTTGCGCAATTGTTATCTCCAACTACATTTTTTACGAACCGCGATTGGAACTGTACTTCTTAGTTGTTAAACAAAAGCTACCACGGGTCCAAAATATTACAGTCACGTGCAGCAATTACAACCGTTAAAATCAAAGTGAATCAACAAGTGTTAAAATAGGATTAAGCTCATGAATAGATTGAAGAGATAAAGAGAAAGGTAAACATTTTTAAACTAAAAACTATTAAATGTTGGTAGATAATTGATATTTACTAAGAACAATATAGAGTAAATCAAATATTACTGGTTAAAAACACCGATTAGTGAGAAAACTTTCATATCAGGGGCTGTTTGGTTCGGCCAAATTTTTAGGAATCCTACAGATTTGGAACAAAAAGTAGGTTTTTTGACATTATAGGATTTCGAAACTGTCATTTGGCTCAACTTTTTTTTATGAATATATTTCTTAAAATCTGACATGACAGTCTACTTTATGGAAAGCTCAAATCATCTACTAGGGGCTGTTTGGTTGCATACTTTTTGAGAAAACTTTTCTCAAAACATCTGACAATGATAAATTTGTAATTAAAAGTTTTTCAAAGATTTCTGTAAATTGTGTTTGGTTCAACAAAAAATTTACAGAAATATTTTCTATAAAATATCAAAACCTACCAAATTTTACAAAAAGCAATTTCCTCTCAAAATGAGAGAAAATCACCAGAAATCTGACACATACCATATTTAATTAAAAACCTACCGAAATCTGACACATACCATATTTAATTAAAAACCTACCAAATCTTGTTATTTTCTATAAAATTATGAGCTATTTTCTTGTTTTGAACCAAACAAGCAAATTAAAAAAAAAACAAGAAAATTGGTACTTTTTGATTTCTCAAAATTTTTCCTATAATTTTTTTAAGAAATACAAGAAAATCATATTTTAGGTGGAAAACATTTCCTATAATTTCTAGAAATTGAACCAAACACCCCCTTAAGCTCAGAAATAGGCTAGAAATCTGACAACTGATTGGCAACTCATCATTTACTCTCACAACTTCCTAAATTATTTGACAATGAAACAAACAAGAGTTTTAGATATGTTTTCCTATTCTTCACTTCATCATTCCATACCAATAACCAATTATGGATTCCTTTGAGATCCACAAATATTTTTAGAAATGGTTATTTGTTTTGAAATCCATTTCCATTATTTTATGGAAAGGAACCAAACAGCCCCTTAATATATCATTCTACAACCACTCCATAATCACAGTTACGATTAATATAACATCGAAGTGAGTTTATACGTGAATTCATGGCCAATGTATCCATAGTATGACTCCCTCGTAAAGTTCAATTGACTTCCGAACTTCAAGCATCATTTCAGTACTCAATAAAGGACGCCAGTTCAGTGTAGAAAAGCAAAATCCAGCCCGGCGACACTGGGACCCATGCCAAGCTGGCAAAAGAAATGGGCTGGGCCTACTTTACAGTACGGGCTCTACACCATGAGCCAGTCAAACTCCAGCACCGTCCAACTCACCGGGGTCCACTCCCCCAAGACAACCGGCTCATCCGGTGAAAATGTAATATTCAATCTTCTAATTTTAATCCCCCCTCTTTAATTAGTACCAAATATTAGAGTCCAAGAAAAATACGCAACTAACGATTCTACTTTTGTAATTTAGTTCCGGCGGTACAGCCCACCGCGCACCGCATTCATGTCTCCTCCCTTCATCTCTCCACCAGCCAACAGACCGGCCCCCGACGTGGGCCCTCTCAACCTCGCTTACAGTTTAATTAACAATTTCAACAAATAAAACATCCAAATAGGACAATCTCCAGGGTTCTATCTGCAAAGCTCCAGAGCCAATTGGTCCCATTTCACGCGCTTTCGTCTGCTATTTATATCCTCCCCTCCTCCCATTTCTCTCCTTAGCAGCCGCTCAACAAAAACCAAAAATTTCCAAAAAAGAAAATCCCCCAATAAATCAGAAAGAAAAAAAAATAAAAAAATAAAAAAAAGAAGGAAAGAAAGAAGTTTCCACATCTCTCTCCCCTCCTCTCAATCCCTCCTCCGTCCCCATCCTCCCCTTCGGTTAAAACTATTATTATTGTTATTTTTGGGATAAAACCCGATTTTCCTCGCGAAAATGAAGATGAGGATGCTGGAGGAGGAGCTGTTCCCCTCGACGCCGGGCAAGGTGAAGATGGACCGCGGGGCGCCACCGCCGACTGACGGCAGTTCGCACGTGCTCTCGGCGTGCGACCGTGCCACCATGTTCCTAGTGGGCCCTCTTCCTCGTCGCGCCTGCCACCGCCTCCTCCTCAGCTTTCAGTCCTTGCGTCCGACCCTCTTCCAAGTAAGCTTCACCGCTCCGTGGGTGGGCTGCCACTGGGGAGGCGCGCAGATATCCAGCTCTCCGCCATCCGGGCGGAGCGGTTGCCATGTCCGTCCATCGTCAACCGGCGGCCGCCGTTTCGTCGGCACGCCAACGTCTGCCCTGCGCCCTCAAGAAGCGGCGGCGACCGGCGTCGTCGCCTCCGACAGACTTGCACTCGCTATCTACGACGCGCGCTCCCTCAAAAAAGCCCGAGTCTGCTCCTCCGCTCGCGATGGATTTTCGTAATTGGGGCGACATCAACGGAGGCGCCTCCTCCGTCGCTATAGCTCTTGCGACGTCGTCGCGACTTCAGCCCACGTCATGCAGCCTCGCCGCTCAGGCCGGCGTCCGAATACGCCATTGAGAAGCCCTAGCTCCTACGCTCCACGTCCAACTATCGCGCGGCCTCGTCTCGCTTATGGAAGTCTTGGCAAGTGCCGGCCGACCCTCAGCCCGCATTAGTTTGGGCCTCGTCTTCCTGCCGTTTACGGGCTCAAGCGACAAGGTCCCTTCTCTGAGCTCGATCGAACCGATGCGGGCCTGCTTCTGCTGTACGCCGCCAGCTAAAAAGGGCCGGAGGAGATCACTCACACGTACTAATCATATCTACGGCTTGTCCTCACTGGGCTTAGGTTCTTCACTGTTTACGGCCCGTGGGGACGGCCCGATATGGCGTACTTCTCTTTCACCAGAAACATTCTCCAGGGGAAGCCCATTACCGTCTACAGAGGCAAGAACCGGGTCGATTTGGCGAGGGATTTCACCTATATTGATGATATTGTGAAGGGGTGTTTGGGTTCGCTTGACACCGCTCAGAAGAGCACCGGAAGCG